AAATTTTCATTAATGATTTTCTCGGGTTAGGTAAGTCACTTTAATGAGTTGGATGATTTTTTATTGACATTTTTTGATGAGTTTGATTTTTATGATTTTTGAATGGAGAGTTTTAGAGTTATTTCCCTTGTTATTTACAGACTATTCTAAGCTCTGTTAGTGTTTAGTATGGTCTAAATAAGACAAGACGTTTTTTATTGGCTTTTATTTTTGATATCCACTTTAGTCAAAAGATGGGCATCTTGAGTAATCAGTAATTGTGTTCACAGCTCACCATCAAAATTTGAGCCTTCAAATCCATGTGTGTCCTTCAATTAGTGACTTGAAGGTAATGTGTGAACCTTAGATAAGTATTTTGACCTGACCAATTTATATAGAGATTAAGGTGTGACGCGATTAAACTAGATTAAACTTCTGAATGAAAAACATTCTAGAGGCGTTCCCAGGTTGAAACTAACTCTTTGTAGTATAATATTGTATATAAATAGTTATGAATGATGGTTTTCAAGCTACTGTCTTCACACTCTTATTCTTTCATAATCGATTATATGTCAAAGTAACATATTCTTCCACATAGTTTCCCCTCAGTATATAACCTACCCACAATAAACTATGATAAAGCAAGAATATACCTTTATGACACAAAAATTACCCATGAAATTCAGAATTTTTGCATGTTTTCAATTTAGTATTAACAGGGTTTCTCAATTGAATTATTTCTATTTTTAATTGATTATTGATTGGTAATCTGTATGGGGAAAACTGCATCAATTTGCACCATTTCAATTTTCAATCAGTTGTCTGTGGTTCCTGTAATTCCACTATAACTAAGCGTGTTATGACATCACTAAGCGCAAAATATACGCAAAATCACAAAATAATTCGTCAATGTGATCCCATGAAATATGTGAAGGACCTCCACAATCATTATTATTTAAGACAGGTTTGGGATATGGGTCATTCCATGTCAAATCACCCAAAAAAAAGTAAACTGTACCCCCTTTGATTTTGCTGAAATTTGGTTTATATGCTTATTTAGTTATTAAAACACCTCAACTTTCTATTCATATAAGTATTAGCATTTTCATTTTCATACATAAAAATAAGGGAACCCATCTTTAAAAATGAGTAGTATGTGATATGTGACACCAGTCTAGGAAAGAAATGATATCACATATCAAGAAAGGAAGTGGTTTATTGTTTAAGATGATAAGGGAAATTATTGAAGGATGATAGTTCATATCATATTTCCCTCTTGTTATCATGCTTAAAGAGAATAAAGTTTAAAATCAATTCATCAAATTTATCATCTTCATCCTCCACAGCATTTTCATCATCCATTTCATCATTATCATCATCCATTTCATCATTATCATCATCATCATCATTATCATCATCCATATCATCATTATCCACATCATCATTATCATAATCATCCACATGATCCACATCATCATTGTCAATCAAGTCTTCCATCATCAAATTTAT